TAATTAGTTAATTCAACAAAAATTTATTGTGGACCTATACTGAGTTACACAGTACTGTTATTTGTGTAAGATGAACATTGCAACCTAACATCATCAACACTTCCCTTTATGGTGTTTAAATTCCTACAAGAATATATAAAATAAAGGAGGTAAAAATAATATTATATTATATGCTGAACTAAAAAATAAACAAAGCAGAAAATAAGATAAGGAAAGGTAATCCACTTAAGTCATGCATCCAGTGCCAATAGAAAGCATAATTCTAAGCAGGACACTTGGGTAAAGGCACTAAGAAGGTAGGAAGCAAAGCCAAGTATATATTTGGAATAAACATTCCAGAAGGTGGGAACAAGGACACAACCCAAACATAGGAATCAGTTTGGAATATTTCAAAAACAACAATGAGGCTAGTGAGGCTGGAGCTGAAGGTCAGGGAAGGAACTGCCGTGAGGACTGAGGTCATGAGGGAAATCAAAAGGGCAGACCACAAAGAGCCATGAGAAACTGAGAACTCCTTTACCACAGTTGTCACACACTTCTCCTTACACATAGAGCCCTCTTCTAGTCCACTGTTGACTGGACTGATCTTGTTCACGACCACCTTGCAGTAACTACAGCTTTCTAGAATTTCCTCACATTAGGTGTTGTAAGTTATTATTTCTTGAACTTCTTTTTCAAAATTGTCTTATCTCTCATGGAAATTTTGCTTTTCTATTAATTTTCAAATGCATTTAAGAGAGTCCTCAAAGTGCTGGCTAGAATATTGAAAGTTGATTTGAATTAGATAAAATATGAGAGAATTGACTCAAATTTCAATCTTATGCTACTATTCAAGTATCTATCATTATATTTACTCTGTTCTGTATCATATTTTAAAATGTTTCCATGCATATATTAATTTCCAGAGATATTATTCTTACAGATTTTTCCAGTAATGAATTTTACCTACTGTAACTGATATTTTAATCATAGTTATTCTGAAATGATGAATTGATCGTCTTCCATCTCATCAAACATTTAAAGATAAGAGGGTGTCCTGGCTCCAGGAAGTTGGGGTTCTCATCAACAGTATTAGAGTACCTTAAGCCCATTCTTGCCAGTTTTAACCCAACTCAAGGAACACAAACTAAGGCCTGGCATCAATCCCATCCTTACCCCAGTGGATCATCTCAAAGTACCTCAAAGAAAGCAACACCTTTAGCTATCTGAAAAACACAATCATTATAAGGTTGCACTATATAAATAACCTGAAAAATATTTTGTGTAAGAGATTAAAGTAGATATAAAATATGTATGTACATTTTATTCACAAACAGAAGAAACAATAAATCATATAAATAAGAATTTAAAACTTGAACAAAATGCAAAAATAAGGTAAAGAACATAATAGATGGGATGCATAGCAAAATGAATCCAACTAACTATGGACTGAAAAGCTGGAAGGTTAGATGCAGGAGCAGAGAAGGCTATAACAAAAGCTAAAGAAAGAAAATATTTTGAAAAAAGATAGGGATCATGAACATAAAATTTACAAGTTGGAAGAAAATTAAAGAGGAATGCATTTTTTATTTATTTATTTTTTAACAGAAGGCAAACACATGTAAGGAATGCATTTTTTAAAAACCCACAACTAGGCACACATTAAAATAAAATACAGTTAGAAAACACAAAAAGAAACTGACAACTTGAAAAATACAAAAAAATATCATTTAGGGCTGGGCTCAGTGGCTCACACCTATAATCCTAGCACACTGGGAGGCCAAGGCAGGAAGAACACTTGAATTCAGGAGTTCGAGACCAGCCTGAGAAAGAGCAAGACCCCATCTCTACAAAAAATAGAAAAATTAGCTGGGTAGTGGCGTGCACCTCTAGTCCCAGCTACTCTGGAGACTGAGGCAGGAGGATCACTTGAGCCCAGGAATTTAAGGTTGCAGAGAGCTATAATGATGCCACTGCACTCTACCTGGGGTGAGAGTGAAAAAAGAATCACTTAGGAAGATGGGAGTACATTCAACTTCTGATCAAATATAGTAGATGCAAGTCTAGGGAGAAAATACCTTTAATAAAAAAGAAATAAGCTTTAAATCCAGATGTTTTTCTAGCAATACGTTATTTAAATAAGGTTAATATTCATAGTCAAAAGTGCCCTAATTGAAGACATTATGCCAAGTGAAACAAGCCAGTCAAAAAAGGACAATTATTGTATGATTCCCTTTACATAGGGTTCCCTGAGTAGTCAAATTCTTTTTTTTTTTTTTATTTTTATTTTTTTATTTTGGCAAGTCAAATTCTTAATTGCTGGGAACTGACAGTGGGGGGATTAGTGTTTATGCATACAGAGTTTCACTTGAGGAAGATGAAAAAGTTCTGGACATGTATGGTGGTGAGGGTTGCACAAAAATGTGAATGTATATAATGCAATAGAACTGTATGCTTAAGAATGATTAAAATGACCAGCCTTAAGTATTCTGATTTAAAAAAGGATAGATGATAAATCTTATATTTTATAATTCCAAAAATGATTAACAAATTGTCCTAAAAATGTTAAGATGCTTCAGTGGAGACTTGAGGAGGAGGCATGTGGTTCACAAATTTTTGTTGATAATCCTTTCATAAAGAACAGAATAATTTAAGTTATGAATTCCACTTTCCCACTTTAAACTAAATTCTTTTGCTCAGTGTGATTGTCAGAACTTTGGCTAAAGGGAGAATCCCAAATTCCTCAAATCCCATATAAGATCACTTATAATTTTGCATAATTTTCAAAATGACACAAACTCTGATAGGTTGTATGGCTTTAGCATCTCTAAACCAATCCATTTGTTGCCTAGAACCTGTTAACATGGTCAGGGCAAGCACACCCCACCGTAAGGACATGCCAGGAAAGTCATAGTTAGAGCAAACACATTGAGATTCAACTCCCTAGAGAGAGAGGGCAGGTCCACAGGTAAATAAATTGCTTGTCACTTTGACTTTACTTAAATCCTTTAAAATTTATTCTTTACAAGATATATTCTCATACAAGATTACATGCTCATAAATATCTAGATAGATTGGAGGAGAAAATGATCCAGAGGCTACAGTATGCTATTGGTATTTAGCAAAGATTTCTATTTGTTTTATATCCAAGATGACAAATGATTTATTGGTTGTAAACATTGGGAGAAATTAATCAATAAAATGAAAAGGCTCACAAAATGGAACACAAACAGAAATGAGGAATATTTACAAAATATGTGCATTGCCATAAAAATGGAGTGAGACTTCAAAATGTAGACCCTATATTAGCAGCAACAAAATCACCTAGAAACTTTCTATGGGTTAGGATGAGAAGAAATCATGACTCCTGTGGACTGTTTGTGCAAATGTCAAATGGTATGTGCACCATGGAAAATAGTTTCTCTATGCATCTGCATGGACTAGAAAAAAAAAAAAAAAGAAAATAGTTTCTCAAAGAATTACAAATAGAATTACCATATGATCCAATAATTCCACTTCTGGGAATAAACCCAAGAATTGAAAGCAGGGTCTTGAAGACATACTTGTACACTCATGCTTGTAGTGGCAATATTCACAGCAGCCAAAAGCAATCCAAGTGTCCATGGATGGATGAAGGAATAAAGGAAATGTAAACACAATGAAATATTACTCAGCCTTAAAAAGGAAATTCTGACACATGCTACAAAATCAATGATCATATGCAAGTGAGACTGACAGAAAAAAAGCAAAAAGTGAAAAAAAAATGAGTCTCGAGGATATTATCCTAAATGAAAAATGTAACAAAAGAAAAAAAAGCACTCTAAAATTCTTCTTATATGAGGTACCAACAAGTTATATTTATAGATTAAAAGTAGAATAGTGGACATCAAGGGTTGAAGGAATACAGGAATGAGTTTTTATTAATGGTTATAGAGATTCATTTTAAGAGACAGAAAGAGTTCAGGATATTCTCTGCACAACAATGTGAAAGTACTGCAAGTATTGAACACAACATTAAAATAGTTAAGATGGCAAATTTTATGTGACATGTACTTTACCACTATTAAAAAAAAAGTATATACACACACACACATATATACACACATACACACACACATATAACTAGTCCTTGGTGCTAAATAAGAGATTTTAGGCTTCATTCTTTCTCCATTTGCTGACCTAAGTGCTCTGTCTGGTGTGAACTTTATGGTGCCAAATGAGGTGGGAATTTTGGCTAAAGACTCTTCCACATCCTGCTGGGCAAGGTGGCTTACCCCTGTAATCTCAGCCCTTTGGGAGGCCAAGGCAGGAAGATCAGCTGAGGCCAGGAGTTTGAGATAATCCTGGACAACAAAGCAAGACCCCATCTCTAAAAAAAAAAAAAAACTTTTTAAATTAGCCAGGCTTTGTAGCTTATACCTATAGTCCTACCTACTCAGGAGGCTGAGGCAGGAGGATCACTTGAGCCCACAAGTTTGAGGCTGCTGTAAGCTGTGATCATGGCACTGAATTCCACCCTAGGCAATAGAGATCCTGTCTCAAAAAGAAAAAAAGACTCTCCCACATTCAAGGCATTCATAAGACCTTTCTCTAGTGTGAATTACATGGTATCTAATGAGTGTAGAATTGTGCCAAAAGACTGTCTCACATTTACTCCACTCGTAAGATTTCACTAGAGTAAATATTCTGACTTCAAAAAATATAATTTTGCATGTCGAGGCTTTACATTTACTTTACTGAAAAAACTTGAGTGTGAACTATCTAGTGTTTTTTTTTTTTTGAGACAGAGTCTCACTTTGTTACCCAGGCCAGAGTGAGTGCCGTGGCGTCAGCCTAGCTCACAGCAACCTCAAACTCCTGGGCTCAAGCAATCCTACTGCCTCAGCCTCCCGAGTAGCTGAGACTACAAGCATGCGCCATCATGCTAATTTTTTTTATATATATCAGTTGGCCAATTAATTTCTTTCTATTTATAGTAGAGACGGGGTCTAGCTCTTGCTCAGGCTGGTTTCAAACTCCTGACTTCAAGCAATCCGCCCGGCTCGGCCTCCCAGAGTGCTAGGATTAAAGGCATGAACCACCGTGCCCAGCCCCAGTGTTTAATAAGACCAGAGTTGAACCAAAATAACTTCCCAAGTTTGCTGAACATATATTTCTGCAATGTGAATTCTCTGATGTATAGTAGTGTGGAGCTGTGCCTAAATGATTACTCACATTCACTGTCTTTCTCCAGTGCAGAGTGCCTGACATCCAACCAGAATATCTTTACAGTTAAAGGGTTTCCAACATTTCCTGCATTTGTAAGGGCTTTATCCAGTGTGAACTTTCTGATGTCTACTGAGTGTGGAGTTATACCTAAAGAATTTCCCACATTCACCGCACTGCTTTGCTGCAGTGTGAATTGTCTGGTGACAAATGAGGTGGGACTTTGTAAGGAAGGCCTTCCCACATTTACTACATTCATAAGGCCTTTCTCCAGTGTGAACTCTTTGGTGTTGAATGAGGACAGATTTCAGGCTAAAGAATTTCCCACATTCACTGCACTCATAAGGCCTTTCTCCAGTGTGAACTCTCTGATGTCTATTGAGTGTAGACCTTTCCATAAAGAATTTCCCACATTCACTGCAACCATAAGCCCTTTTTCCTGTATGAATTCTATAATGCCTAAAGAGGTTGGAGTTGCACTTAAAGAACTTTCCACATTTGTTACAACCATAAGGTCTTTTTCCAGTGTGGACTCTCTGATGTGTAATGAGTGTGGAACTCCACATAAACAATTTTCCACATTCACTGCATTCATAAGGCCTTTCTCCAGAGTGGATTGTCTGGTGACGAACAAGGTGGGACTTACAAAGGAAGGCCTTCCCACATTCACTGCATGCATAAGGCCTTTCTCCAGTATGAACTTTCTGATGTCTATTGAGTGTTGACTTTTCCATAAACAATATCCCACATTTGCTGCATTTATAAGGTCTTTCTTCAGTGTGAATTTTCTCATGGTCAACAAGTTTATGTTTGTGGGTGAAGGCTTTCCCACATTCACTGCATGGGAAAGTCCTCTCTGCCATATGAACTCTCCAGTTCTTCATAAATGAAAGGCTCCTTTTATCTCCTTTGGAGAATTTCTCTCTAAGTTCCTGTTTTGGGTGCTGGTGAAGATTTGCTATACATGTTTCCAGCCCCTGCTCAGGATGTGTTTCATCATAATTAGCCAGGTGCAGTATGTCTTTCAGAAGTGAGCTACATGTCTCACAGGGCTGGGTCTTCTTGGTGGACAGAAGGGCCTTTGGAGTTGTGACTTGTGACATTCCTACAGAAACACCTTGCTCAGAAGGCACCTCCACATCCTCAGCCCCATGGCAATAACCTGAAAACAGAGAGATACTAGTGAAGTGCTTGTTAACTTTGGTGGGAGGATGCAGCCCCAACACAAATGTCTGTCTGACATACCCAGAAATAAGGCCATGGGATTGCAGATGGTCATGGAAACTGAGGAAAGTGAGAGGAAGATGGGCTGTGCAGAGCTGGGCCTGGCAAATGCCCAAAATTGAGAGCCCTGATGAACAGTGAGGATGCAAGGGAGGGGTGCAGTGCAGGGAGGAGCAGGGGTCTCCAACTCCCTCCTCTGCAAATGGCCATGGCTGCTGGTGTAGGTTGAACAGTGTGTAGGTTGTGTCCAGATCAGAGAGAACTGACAGTGGAGCTGGAGTTCAAGGACTACTGAGAGAGACATGTAGACCCCATGACACCTAAAGTGCAAGTCATATGTTGGAGGACACTGTAAAGGGAGCAGTGGATGAGAATGGGTGAGAGGTGGTGGCCACAGAAGTGGGGGTTGTAGGGCAGGAGTTGGAGGATCCAGGGGAAGGAAATCATACTAAACATGACAGTGGGGGAGAAAAAAGTATGAATGAGGTGTGATGGAGGCCCTGCCATCAAATGGTGAGCACAGGACAGGTACCCAGTGTGATTTGAACCAAGCTCTGACATCACACCTTTTCCCAATTTCCAAGCACCAGGGCCATTATTGAGCCTTTATTGCTAATACTAGAGTAATATCCACTCTCTCAGGTACCCTGATTGCTCCCCATTGTTCAAGGTGACAGTGTCTGGGACCCAGGAGAGGCCAGTCCTAGGGAAAATACAGGGAAAGGGAGTTGACAGCACATACTCAAAGAGATCTATTCTGTGACACTTCACATTCACAAGAATTTCATAGAAGAATCTTGTAGAATCAATCCAGTGGTCCATAATATTAATGACCAAGTCAGTGCCTGAAATTCCTATCACAGGAAGGCACCTGAAATATCAGTGAGAGCAAGGGGACAACCTAGAGCATGGAGGCTGCATGCATTTGGACAGAGTTACCTGTCTAGAACAGACAAGGCTGGTGTGATCTCCATGCCAACTTCAAGATTTCTTGTAAGCCTCAAAGCAGCAGGCAGGGGGCTGGCAGGAATAGGGGTACAGAGCACAGCCTAGCCCTGGCTCCATAGCACATGTGCTAGGAAACCAGTAAAAAAACCCAAAAAACAGCATCGATAATCTCACCGCAGGAAAGACAGAACTGCACTTAGGTAAAAGGGAGAAGACACAGCCCAACCCAGGATGCTGAGGGCCTTACCCAGTGAGGACAAAAGTGCCATGTTCTCCAGCATTACATCTCGGTACAGTGATCTCTGAGCCTCATCAAGGTGCTCCCACTCCTCCTGGGAGAAATATATGGCCACGTCCTCAAAGACCACACAGCCCTGCCAAAATTGAGGTAGTTCAGTACATAAGCAGCTTCTTCAAACTGTGTTTTCTATTTATCTCTTTCTTACCTATTAAATACAGGGCCACACCAATAGCTAAATTTGTTTCCATCTCCCCTGCCATCCGGAACCCATATTCTGAACCACCTCCTTATCTAACTTTCTCAGACCAAGCCAATATTATATTTCTTTTGTACTAACTTGACCCAGGGACAGGTACCACACCTCTATTTAGTGACAGCCTTTGTGCCCCAGATGTGCTGGAATTATTCAAACTAGCCAATTTTAAGCCTTGTCTTTCCTCAGGAACCTTAACAGAAGCCATGGCCCGAGCTTTTTCCTTGCTTCTGTCTTCTGCTTCCTGATCAAATCTGGTGCTTCAACAGCCATGTGACCCCTCTTGGGGAAATGTGAGGAATAAATTTCTTCTTCCAATGTTATTGGCCTGTCCCTGTCATCACTCATTCACATCCATAAATTAAAACCCATAGGCACAATCACTGTTCTACATCTCTCTACAGGATCTCGGTCCTTCTCCCCCACAACTTCCTCATGTGGAAGAGATACCAGGTTCTGGTAGCATGGGTTAGTTTCTCTTTACATTTCAATTGATCACTGTGTCCAGCACACTGAGAAAATGGGTGAGGTCGGTAGAAAAGCACCATCTAAGATGGGGGCTTGGGTTGGGGGGGCTCCACCTCTCTCCTGCCAGCCAGTATCCCTGGGGGCTTCCAGATCTTTCCTCCAACCAAACTCAGACTCATCCTTCTCTCTAAGTGCCCAGTGCTGGGACTGGGGGCTATCCACTCACACTCCTCCTGCCTGCACATGACTGGCACTTCCATCACATCTCTGTACTCTGTGCTACTACATTTCCACACATGACTCCCAACCCACCTCACAGGCATTCCTTCACCTCTGAACAGGATCCTTTTCACATGGAAACCAGGTAGTGCATGGCAAATACATCCAGCATCCAAGTCAGCCTCCATCCTTCCCCAGAGCATCAAAGTCCCCTCATGCCAGGGGCAGCCCAAAGTCCTGCTTTGAAGGTCTCCCCACCTGCCCTTTTCTGACTTCACAGTCAGCCACCTAAACCATGTGAGGACTTCATGTACTCTGGGCTATCTTCTGCAATCCACATTCTGTCTCCTAAGCAGTGAGGACAATTGCTCTCCACTGAAACCTTACTCAAAGCCCAGGTGACTAACTTCTATACTTTCACCTCCACTCTCACCCCATCCCAAATGAGGCTTATCAACTTTCCTAACTGATCTCATTTCTCCCCTCAGCATCCCAATCATGTCTACTCTCTGCTCAGAAGCCTTTCTTACTCCTCTACCCTACCCTCTCATACATACTTATCCTCACAAACACTCTGTTCCCTCATCTGTCTTGTGACTCCTCCACTACCATCCATGTACCTAATAGAGACTTAGTTCTCTGCCTCTTCACTTCATTCCTTATCCCCAACAGCACTGTCACAGTGACCTAGAAATGCCACTTCCTAAATTTGATCCACAGCTTGATTTCAGTCCACACAACACCCACCATGTTGTAGATGTTTTCAAACTGAGCTCCTCCACTAGGAGTCTCTGGAACATTAATGGCATGGACAAAAACTGAGCCCTCATATTCTCTGAATATTACTCATACTACTGACTTTCCACATCTTAGCTGAGGGAGAATCTATCCTTCCATTCAAGACCAAAAACCATGGGGTCACCCTGAATTCCACTTCCATACCACCTTCCCAGCTCCAATATTTTCTATGTCATAAGATGTGGGCAGCTGTAGTTCAAAATACATCCTAAAGATAACCACCCTTCTCACCTCCACAGCCACCACTCTTATCCAGCCAGCACCAACAACCACCTGGACTAATGCAAGAACATCCTCTCAGTTCTCCCTTCCTTTACCTTCACCTTCAGAGCCGATCCTCCACTCTGAAGCCAGAGAAAAGTCTCTTATATCAGAGTCATATCACTGTCCTTTTCTGCTTCAAATCTTTCCTATATCCTGCCACCTTCCCACTGGATGCCCAGAACCTCAGGCCCATTTTCTATTTGTTTTCAGTACAATATAGTAGGGTTTTGAAATTTTGGGTGTATATTTTTAGCTTTTAAGATTTTAGAGGAGGTGATATTAAAATTTTCCCTAGTAAGTAGATAGCAATTTAGAGGTAAGTTAATGTCAAACCAATAGTGAGGTGTTTGTAGAAATTTAACTTAATGAATAACTTTATTTCTAATTGCTTTACCTATGCGTACATATTTAGAGGAATATTGGCTAGTGTTTAAATCAGTAAGTGTGGCCGGGCGCGGTGGCTCACGCCTGTAATCCTAGCACTCTGGGAGGCCGAGGCAGGCGGATTGCTCGAAGTCAGAAGTTTGAAACCAGCCTGAGCAAGAGTGAGACCCTGTCTCTACTATAAATAGAAAGAAATTACTTGGTCGATTATATAGAATTATGTAGGCCAATTATATAGAATTATATAGGCCAACATATAGAAAAAATTAGCCAGGCATGGTGGCGCATGCCTGTAGTCCCAGCTACTCAGGAGGCTGAGGCAACAGGATTGCTTGAGCCCAGGAGTTGGAGGTTGCTGTGAGCTAGGCTGACGCCACGGCACTCACTCTAGCCTGGGCAACAAAGCGAGACTCTGTCTCAAAAAATAAAAAATAAAAAAATAAATCAGTAAGTGTTTCACACATTTTTAAGTTAATGAGTTGTATAGAGGGGCGGAGCAAGAATGTCAGCTACTGGTCTGTTCTGCAACCAGATCTGCCTGATATATAATTCTCTGAAGGAAGCTTGCTGAGAAACCTTGACTGGAGCAGTAAATCACCCGCTCTCACTTTAACATGTAGAGGGGAAGCAATGCCCTGGTCTGGAACCCAGCCTCTCCAGTTGCCTGGATGATCTTTCTCTTGTTCCACAGGGAGTAGCCCTGAGAGTGAGCCCAGCCTGCAGGTGCAGAACCTAAACCACCTTACACCTCTGTTTCCACCCTACGCCAGCTCCTTACCCCATCCAGTCCTCTCTCTTTTTGAGACACAGGCTAGTATCCCTCCCATGCCAGTTCCGTACCTTTCTGGAGAGAGTATCACTTTTGTGGATTCACCCATGGTAAGGCCCCCTACTCTCAGGCTTCTCCTCCCTCACTGCAGAGCACATCTGATAACAACTTCTAAATTTCCCTACTCAATCTGATTGTTAGGCTGTATCCTGTTCGTTGACAGGGTACAGCCTAATGATCTATTACTTACACATCTCCCCCCCAGCCCTGTTCCTCAAATTCCAGACCTTTTTCCCCCCTACCCATGTGGTATCAGCAACTGAAACCCCTGCAAATCACAATGACCAAAATCTAACTCATGACCTCCTTGAAACCTACTCCTCATGCTTACTGCCCCAGTTCCGTTCTTTGCGATGTTTGTTTTGCTCACAAATCTGTATTTTATGCAGCAAGAAATCCTGTCGATTTTCAGGTCTATCCAAAATCTCGTCACGTCTCCCCTCTACTGCTACTACTTTGACCCAGACCCTACTGTAATATTCCCAAGGTCCATTGCAGTGACTTCCTACTGGTCTCTCTCCTTCCCTTCACCCATCCTCTTTCCCCGATTTTAAACTTCTAACTCTGGGCATGCCCTTTCCATCTGCCCTCCTTTCACAACCTTCCATGGCCTCCAGGTGCTCAGGTTGACATTCCAGAGAAGACTGCATCAAACCCTCTCTTTCCTGCATAAACTGCCACCCTGGGTTCCCAGTGGAATCCATTCAGTAGCACCTACAGGCCTTTGCACGCACTAGTCCGGGAAGAAAACTTCCTCCCACACCTCATCATACTGGCTAAAACGGGGACCCCGCAAGAGATCTCCCCTGTCCACGGAACACGGCGGCCTGCCCTGCAGTGACATGAGCAGGCGCCCCTGTGTCCGGGCTTCAGCACTAGGAGGTGGGGTCTTGCCGGGGAGGGCCAGGGGAGGAGCACCCACCTGAGTCGAGCTCATTGCCAAGCGAGCTCGGGAAGACAGGGGCCAGGAACGGCGGTGACAGGGGTACAAGGACACGGCCGTCTCGAGCATCTGCCAGTTGAGCCTCACGCCCGCCTCCGTGCAGTGCGAACTAAGATGCTTCTCGCGGTTTTCCGCTCCGTCACCTCGGTGACGTTCCAGAGCTCCACAGGCCTGAGCCAAGAAAACCCCAGAGAGCTACAAAAATGACCAACGCCAGTCACACGCCGGAAGTCCCGCCCTCATGTGATGCGCACACGCTTATACGTCCCTTCGGTGGCGTGGTCGTGCCACCGTGGGCCGCAGGGTCTTCTGGGTTATGAAGTTTCCACTCTTCTTCCGGCCGTCTTAGAGACTTGATCGCTCCTAGAGAAAGGCCCCGAGGCAACGTTAGGGACGCTGGGAAATGCAGTTCCGGGACGCCAAGGCAGGATGGGCATGATATGCTCTTCATGGCGACGTACCCAGGTTTTCTTGGATTGCAATCTAAGGATCCTCAGAGAAATGTTAGAGACCCATTATTTCAGACTCTGTGAAGCACACCGAGTTTTCAGAGGCTACCCATCCAAAGGGACATACCATATCATAGAAGTACTATATGTCTACTCATACCTGTCAGCTATCTTGTTGCTTTTCACATACAGTTAAGCTTTGGAGTTTGTTTAATAAGCTTTAATATTTCTGGCCCAGGAGAAGAAAGACAGACTATAGACAGGGCTATGGGGAACTTGCCGGAAGGATGACAGAAGGTATTGAAGTATGTTGAAAGGGTGAAGCTGCGCCTCTGGTCTCAAGAGGCACATCTTTCCTGGCTGTATGGTCAGTGATCGTGGCCCTACCGAGACAGCAACATGTTCATTCAAATAATATTACTCCACATCTAAGATATTTTACATTTACTTTAGGAATCTCAAGTGCACCCGAAAATAAGAATGACTGATCATATACCATTTCCTGAGAGAACACTGCCTGCCATTTTCATAGCTGAAGCACACCTGCAAAGAGGGCTTCTTATCCCCAAGAAAAGGTGTGGAGTTCCATGATTTATCTTCTTGCTGAGAAGTGATTTAGCATTCACCTGCATTTTACAAGTGTCTGCACAGGGAGCTGAAATTATCTGTGAAATAATACCAGGACATATTAATAAAAAAAAAAAAAGAAGAAGAAAGAAAAGACATTTATCTGTGAAAAACACTTGTGAAATGGAAATTACTGAAATATATTAATAATGATTATGTAGTTATTTTTTGAGAGTGGTTGACATAACTCTCTAACCCTATCTGTCACATGTAGGGAGAAAACGGTAAGATCTCAGTAAAGTTAAGGGAGACACAGTGAAGTCAGAAGTCAGAGAAGTAAGCTGAGCCTGTGGCTGTGCTGGAAGTTTGGACACACTGTTCTTCTGACTCCAAACTGTAATTCTTTTTTCATATTTGAAAACATTGTTCATTAACTGCTTGGAGGGATAAGTAGAGATGATAAATGGAAAGACTTGCCACAAAGACAAAAATCAGTAGGGAAGCTTTGTGGTGATAAGTATTTACTGTTCTACCACATCGTCAGTGAGCATGTATGTACTGGCTTTCAGATCCATAGTAGGTGCATGGGACAAATTGGAAATCGGGTTGCCAGCTGCAATGTGTATATAGGACTGTTCTCTGTTTTCTTAGATTCTGTATTTGTCTATTTCATATTAATTAATCACCGGGTGAAACTAACAGCCGAAGTTTTTTACTTCTCTTTCTTGCGAGTCACTTAGATGCATGAAACTAATATAAAACCCTCACAAACACAAATCTTAATAAGTGTATTTCCCCTTCCCACCCATGGGGATGTCCTCACCCAGTTACTCCCTGCCACTTTAGTTATAAAGACATAGTCCCAATTACTCTCTTCTCTGATTCCTGGTTCCTGCATGAGACAGAGTTTCTTGTGACCTGTGTGGTATTCAGTGCCTCTCATTTCCAGGGGAACAGTTGAGCAACATTAAACTTTTCTTTCAGTGGCATTGACCTGTATTGTTACTAACTAACTTTTATAAATTATGGCCCAGGAACAGTTCAAGGACACGTCCTGTATTTAATAATTTTTCCTGTATCCTATATTGACTTGTCAGAAAGCCTGTATTCAGCTTTTTACAAGACATTACAAAAAGTCAGCAGTTACAGCTATTTTTCTTACACTATAATTGGCAATTAAATCACTTAGTGGCAACACTAGCTAAAAATCACATCCTCACAAATAAAAATTTAGGCAATACATCTGGTCCTGCAAGCTTGACGTTGGGACACCAGAAACAGGGATTGAAAATTAAACTATTTATTTTTCACGTTCAAGTAAGGAAAAGACTTTTCTCTGGCCTAAATTCAAAGTCATGAATGAGTAACCACTGTTAATTAGAGTTAATTTGGGATGGGTACATAAGCTTGGAAATCTAGCTATTCAGCTACACCTTCACTCCAGTAACAAACTTTCTGAAATTTAGCAAATCATTGTTAGACCAAACTTCTAAAATTCTTCTTTAGGACTGGTAAGACCCAGTCCCAAAGAGAGCCAATTAGCATTCAGTGACAGTCCCAGGCTGCTTGGCAACAGCCAATCAGCAAGTGCCTTGTGTTGGTAACCCTATTTATATGAGTCAATTTGTCAACTGTTGTGATCACACTAATGCACCTGAAAGCCCATCAGTCTTTCAACATGATCCCCAATCCCTGAACATCAGATTCCCAAAAGTTTATAAAATAGTAGCTTTTGTTTTGTCTGAGGAGACTACCTGACAACCACAGCTCTCCTTGGCAGGCAAACGGTAACTCCACTATTTATTTTTTAGCTCTAGGTATCAAGTTCAATTCATTGTTAGTTTATAACCTTTCAATGGTTCAGTTTATGTTTATGATTAGTTATGATTATCATTAGTTATGACTAGTTATGAGGACATGAAATGATAGACTGACCCAGATGTGACATTATAGAATGCAATGTTTTCAATTCTTGGGTAAGTTGCTATCATTTATTTTGGTGTACATGGAATGCAAAAATGTCAAATTGGAAGTTTATAATTATGATGAACTTGCTGAGTAGGCATTTATTAAATAATAATATTCACTGGATGTATGACCCTGGTATTCCATTTCTAGATTTTTGCCTACACAAATGAATAGATTACCATTTAACAAATTGGTTAGAAGACACATTATAAAAAACAAATTTTCTTAGGTGGTTTACCAGCTTTGAAAATTCCATTTCTTGAAAATACTGTAGGGGTCTCAATTTAGCTGGTAGCTGTTAAGTCATAACTAGGCCAGGAAAGTGTGAACAGTGTGAAAGCCTTCCTTTTCTCAGGTTTCTGAAAGGATCAGATCTTCTCTGATATTCATTTTTTTTTTTTTTTTTGAGACAGAGTCTCACTTTGCTGCCCAGGCAAGAGTGAGTGCCATGGGGTCAGCCCAGCTCACGGCAACCTCAAACTCCTGGGCTGAAGCAATCCTCCTGCCTCAGCCTCCCAAATAGCTGGGACTACAGGCATGTGCCACCATACCTGGCTAATTTTTTCTATATATATGGCCAATTAATTTCTTTCTATTTATAGTAGAGATGGGGTGTCGCTCTCACTCAGGCTGGTTTCGAACTCCTGACCTTGAGCAATCCGCCTGCCTCGGCCTCCCAGAGAGCTGGGATTACAGGCGTGAGCCACCGCGCCCGGCCTGATATTCATTCTTATACCAATTCATCCCTATTCCTCACAGTAATCTATTCTACCACTCATCAGCCACTGTTATAAGTCTCTTGCAGCTTTTCTTTTCTTTTGTATTCACATGCCCTAGTAAGAAGAGATTTGTTCTTTTACATGTAGCATAGTAATATTATGTTCTACACTTCACACTTTTCCTTCCTTGTTACTCAAAAAGTGTGTTTAAGATATGCACATATTGGCTGGGCGCAGTGGCTCACGCCTGTAATCCAAGCACTCTGGGAGGCCAAGGCAGGCAGATTGCTGAAGGTCAGGAGTTCGAAACCAGCCTGAGCAAGAGCGAGACCCTGTCTCTTCTATAAATAGAAAGAAATTAATTGGCCAACTAATATACATAGAAAAAAAATTAGCCAGGCATGGTGGCGCATGCCTGTAGTCCCAGCTACTCGGGAGGCTGAGGCAGAAGGATTGCTTGAGCCCAGGAGAAAAAAAAAAAAAGATATGCACATATTACTGGGTATTCCTCTCTCAATTGTTACTAATTACCCCAATCATGATATTTTTGTGTACATATTCATATTTCCACTTCTCTACTCATGGATGCTCCTGGATCTTCTCATTACCTATTGCCACAACATAGTTCCTCCATGTCCTGCTGCCTGGAATAGTATTATGAGCAAGCTTTCCCCTGGGAGTAATTGTGGAACTGCTTTAGAGACATTAAGGAAGCAGACTGTCGCATTACAAGATATTCCAGAAAAGCATTTGCTAAAGTCCCTGTCCAGATTGGTTTTAAAACTGCTGAGTTCTTGACCCTCCTATGAGGTATACATAATTGCTTCTACAGAATTCTTTCCCTGCCCTCCAAAGTTTAGTAGTTTGAATTTCAAGTAATAATCATTTATATTTAATTTGCCTTCATCCTATACCAAGGGTTTAATCATCCATTCAGAGCCTTGATAGGGAATTGATTTTCTTATCCAGTTCATTGCTTATATTTTAGTTTATTTGTAGGGACTCTGACTTCTTATTTTTAAATAAGAACATAAAAGTTATATTCTTAAAACTGTCTAAAACTAGGCAGATTTATATATATTTTATGTCTTCTCTCGATCCCTCAACTCTCTAAATTTTGACATGATATGCTTTATGGAAGACAGCCTTAAATTTACATGCAATTGTAATTAATTTTTATCTAATATTTTGTGGTTTTGGGGAAATAACTGATAGTGTCTTATCAGGGCTTTATGTCTGCTTCAAAGACAGCCCTTCTCTCTGTCCTCACATGGGGGAAGGGGCAAACAGCTCCCTTGAACATTTAAAAGCATTAATCCCATTCATTAAGCCTCTGCCCTCACAATAATCACCTCCTAATATTATCACAATGGTGATTAAGTTTCAACTTATGAATTTAGGGGGAACACCTTTATTTATTTATTTATTTATTTATTTATTTATTTATTTATTTAGAGACAGAGTCTCACTTTGCTGCCCAGGCAAGAGTGAAAGCTCAAACTCCTGGGCTCAAGCAATCCTGCTGCCTCAGCCTCCTGAGTAGCTGGGACTACAGGCATGTGCTACTATGCCTGGCTAATTTTTTCTATATATATTGGTTGGCCAATTAATTTCTTTCTATTTATAGTAGAGATGGGGTCTCGCTCTTGCTCGGCTGGTTTCTAACTCTGACCTCGAGCAATCTGCCTGCCTCGGCATCCCAGACTGCTAAGATCACAGGCATGAACCATTGCGCCCAGCCCAGATGTCTTTTTTATAGAATTTTTTTTTCTTTTGGGTAGATGCCCAGTAATGGGATTGCTGGATCAAATGGTAGTTCTTTTAGTTCTTTGAGGTATCTCCATATTGCTTTCCACAGAGGTTGTACTATTTTGCAGTCCCACTAGCAGTGTACGAGTGTTCCTATCTCTCTGCATCCATGGCAACATTTTTTTGTCTGGGAACATTTTGATAAAAGCCATCCTCACTGGAGATAAGTGATATCTCATTGTGATTTTGATTTGCATTTCCCTTTTGATTAGAGATGTTGAGCATTTTTCATGTTTCTTGGCTATTACTCTGCCTTTTTTTGAAGAGTTTGTTCATGTCCTTTGATCACGTTTAAATGGAGTTGTTTGATTTTATCTTGCTGATTTTCCTGAGTTCTATATAGATTCTAGTTAACAGTACTTTATTGGATGTTTAGCATACGACTATTTTCTCCCATTCTGTAGATTCTCTGTTTGCTCTCATGAGTTTCCTTAGCTATGCAGAAGGTTTTATAATTTGATCAGGTCCCATTTATTCTTGTTGCTGTGATTGCTTTTGGGGTCTTCATAAATTCTTTCCCTAGGCCAATGTCTATAAGTGTTTTTCCAACATTGTCTTCTAGAATTCTTAGGGTTTCATGACTTACATTTAACTCTGTTATCCACCAGTTGTTTTGTGAGTTGATTTTGTGAGAGGTTAGAAGTGTGGATCCTGTTTGAGTCTTCCACATGTGGCTATCCAATTTTCCCAGAACCATTTATTGAATAAGAATTCTTTTCCCCAGTGTATGTTTTTGTCTGCTTTGTCAAAGATCAGATGGCTATATGAGGGTTTTATATCTGGGTTCTCAAGTTCTATTTCATTGGTCTATGTCTCTGTTCTTGTGTCAGTACCATGCTATTTTAGTTACTATAGCCTTGTAGTATAGCTTGAAGTCTCGAAAATTGATGCCTCCTAATTTGTTCCTTTTCCTTAAGATTGCTTTTGCTATACAGGGTTTTCTCTGGTTTCATACAAAGCATAGAATTATTTTTTCTACAGCTGCAAAAAATGATGTTGGTATTTTAATGGGAATTGCATTGAATCTGTAGATCACTTTGGGTAGTATAGACATTTTAACATGTTGATTCTGCCAACCCATGAGCATGGTATGGTTTTCCACCTGTTTATGTTCTCTGCTATTTCCTTACTCAGTGTTTCGTAGTTCTCCCTATAGAAGTCTTTCACCTCTTTGGTTAAATATATTCCTAGGTATTTTATTTTCTTTGTTGTTATTGTGAAGGGTATTGAGCCTTTGATTTGGTTTTCAGTTTGACTGTTGCTGGCATATGAAATGCTACTGATTTCTGTACATGGATTTTGTAACCTGAGACTTTGCTGAATTTATCAATTCTAGTAGTTTCATGGCAGAATGTTCAGGTTTTCTAAATATAAGATCATATCATCAGCAAAGAGCAATAGTTTGACCTCTTCTGTCCCAATTTGGATGTACTTTATTTTCTTCTCTTGTCTAATTATGTGGCTAGGACTTCCAGCACTATGTTAAATAGAAGTGGTGATAGAGGGCAACCTTGTCTGGTTCCAGTTCTAAGCAGGAATGCTTCCAATTCTTCCCCATTCAGCATGACATTGGCTGTGGGTTTGTCATATATAGCGTTTATCATTTTTAGGTAAGACCGATCTATGCCTATTTTGTTAAGTGTTCTTATAAAAGGGTGCTGAATTTTGTCAAATGCTTTTTCTGCATCTATTGAGAGGATCATATGGTCTTTATTTTTACTTCTACTTATGTGTTGAATTGCATTTATACATTTGTGTATGTTGAACCATCCCTGCATTGCTGGGATGAAGCCCACTTGGTCATGATGGATTATTTTTTGATAAGCACCTAAGTTCAGTTTGCTAGGATTTTGAGAATTTTTGCATCTGTATTCATAAGGGATATTGGTCTGTAGTTTTTTTGTTGTTGTTGCCTCCTTTTCTGGTTTTGGTATCAGGGTGATGTTGGCTTCAACAAAAACTCTCATCTCTACACAAAGTCATGGAAACTAAACAACCTTTTGCTCAACAATTATTGGGTTAAGGAGAAAAGAAAGAAATCAGAACATTCTTTAAATTATAAAGGAGACACAAGTTACCATAATCTGTGGGCGGATTGCTCAAGGTCAGGAGTTTGAAACCAGCCTGAGCAAGACCCTGTGTCTACTAAAAATAGAAAGAAATTAATTGACCAACTCAAAAATATTTATACAAAAAATTAGCTGGGCATGGTGGCACACGCCTGTAATCCCAGCTACTTGGGAGGCTGAGGCAGCAGGATTGCTTGAGCCCAGGAGATTGAGGTTGCTGTGAGCTAGGCTGATGCCATGGCACTCACTCTAGCTTGGGCAACAAAGTGAGACTCTGTCTCAAAAAGAAAAAAAATCTGTGGGACACAGCTAAAGCAGTCCTGAGAGGAAAATTCATATTCATAAATGCTTACATCCAAAAGACAGAAAGATCACAAATCAACAATCTAATGAATCATCTCAAAGAACTGGAAAAGGATGAGTAACCCAACCCTAAACTCAGGAGAAGAAAAGAAATACCCAAGAACAGAGCAGAACTAAATGAAATCTATAACAAAACAACTATAGAGGATCAATACAACAAAAATTGGTTCTTTGAAAAAATAAACAACACTGAGATGCCTCTTGCTAGATTACAGAGAAGCAGAAAAGGACTCTAATAAGCTCAATTAGGAATGAAAAAGGAGAAATGACAACTGATACCATGAAATACATAATATCATCTATGAATACTATAAAAACCTCTATGTACATAACTTGAAAATGTGGAGGAAATGGAAAAATTCTTAGAAACACACAGCCTCCCTAGGCTCAATCAGGAAGAAATAGAATTCCTGAACAGACCAATATCAAGTACTGAAATTGAAGCAGCAATAAAAAACCTTCCTAAAAAGAAAAGTCCCAGACCAGATGGTTTCATACCCGAATTTTGCTGGACCTACAAAGAACTGGTGCCTATCCTGCAGAAATTATTTCACAATATTGAGCAGGAAGGAATCCTCCCCAAAACGTTTTATGAAAATCTTCTCATAAGAAAATCCCAAGCTCAAATGACTTCACTAGAGAATTCTATCAAACATTTAAAGAACTATCACTAATCCTTCATAAAGTCTTCCAGAAAATAAGAGAAGGAAACACTTCTTAACTTATTCTATGAGATCAGAATTGCTTTGATACCAAAGTCAGAGACATCACAAGAAAAGCACAAACCAATTATGTCTCATCAATATAGAAGCAAAATACATCAATGCACTATCAGAAAAACTGATTCAATAACATGCAAATAATTATATATCAAGACAAAACAAAGTAGAATTTCTCCTAAGACTGCATGGTTGGTTGAACATCTGAAATTAGTACAGCATACAAAGACAAAAAAAAAAAAAAAAAAAAAACAAAAACAAACACCTAGATGAATGGAATAAAATAGAGAATCCAGAAATAAATCCACATACTTACAGCCAACTAAGTTTTGAAAAATAAGTCAAGAACATACAATGTGGAAAGGGCACCTTCTTCAATAAATGGTGCTGGGAAAATTGGATATCCATATGCAAAAGAAAGAAACTAGACTCCTAATTTTCACCATACAAAAAAGTCAAGTCAAAGTGGATCAAAGACTTACACTTAAGGCCAGAAACTATAAAACTACTGTAAGAAAAATAGGGGAAACACTCCAGGATATTGGTCTAGGCAAAGATTTTATGGCTAAAATCTCAAAAGCACAGACAACACAAATAAAAATAGACAAATGGGACTATATTAAACTAAAAAGTTTCTGTACAGCAAAAGAAGTAATCAACAGAGTGAAAAA